GTCTCGCCACCAAAAGTCCAGGCTGCGGCGGGTAAAATGGATTCCCTCTGGGCAGCTACTTCCTCTGTCATCTGTCACCGCTTCCTGTCTGTGAAGAGCAGGTAATGACAGCACGCAGGTGTTGCTAGCCGGGTGGTATCACTGCAAACTGTCAGCAACACAAGGCATGCCCCCCCCTCCCCCACAGAAATGTTAATACTGTTTGATTCAGTTGCTTTAATTTCAAAATGCAAGTTTAAATTACTTTTAAGTTTTCAGTTTTTCCAACTTATTCATATATTGCAGTAATCATCAATAGTGAGTTTTAGCGTGCACGATAGGTCAAATGCACCATTATCATGTGCAAGAGTTAAAGTGGTCCCTGAACCGAGCTAAAATGATTACTTATTGGCCGTTACTCAGATATTTGTTCTGCTGCACTGCACATAGAAATTGATGTTCCGTGAACCCTGGATATTTTTCTCATAAGGTCATGGTTTGGAATTTCATGTAGGTGATGAATGGCTGCAGATTTACTGAGGAGTTATGAGTAAGCCTTTCACTGTATTGACTTTATCAGAGAACATAATTAGAAAAGAAAAATCCATAGTGATAAAGAATTTGGGAAAAGGTTTTCTTAACGGAGTATTTTCTTTATATATTTGATTTTTTTGAACAGGGGGTTTGTTTAAAGTGAGTCAGAAAGACCCATAACTTGTTAGAAACATCGGCCTGGCTGATGTGAACTTTCTTTCCCGGCTTCTCAGCAGTGTGTAAAACCACTGCCATGGTTTGTTATGACAAAGGTCACGGATAACGGATGATCTGCCTACAGTTCCCTAATGTGAGAACAAAGACTTTGTCAAAATATATTCCAGCAATATAGTGAGCGGGGGATAAGTTACATTGTTTTGGGGATAGGTTTTCCAGACAGAGCGATGTGAAGACAGGCCCTGGCTGTGGATTTACTGGGACTCGTTCTAGTCCGTTAATCCTTGTATCTCTTTGACTCTTTCCACAGGTTCCTCTGTTGGCAAGCCTCACGGGCTCTGAAGTGGCTGCCCTTCCTGTGCTCACCAATAATTTCTAGTCCTGGTGCAAGCGAACCTGTTTTCACTGGTAAAATGGAGGGATAATCAAGCTTAACATGATTAAAGAAAATTATATGTACAACAAAAACAACAAATTGCATGGTGAGAAACTTGTTTGAATTTGATAAGTGAGAATCTAATGTTCTTAAATATGTTAGCATTCAGGAGTAACAGAAATAATATGAATTTTCATTGGAATAAAATCTAAAATAAAGAAGAAAGAAAAACAAAGTGTAGAGTATGACATGTGTCTGCACATTTTTCACATGCTCTCAGCAGCCAAGCAGTTTGCACTGAGCTGCCTCTTGTTCTGTATAAAATAATCCATATGGCTGCTCGTCCGGACCGAGGATCCCATGCCGTTACCGACCCATACGTTAGGCTTTTTATGGGCCTCGGAAGGGGAATGATGAAACCGAATCAGGTCATGCCAATTGATAGACATTCGCCTCAGCTATCATTTGCACACACCATCCTTTTAAAGTGCAGCGAAGAGAGGTGCTCCCCCTCCTCACAGCCTCGTAGTGGCTTCCCCAGAAGCTGTCATCATGTTGTTCTCTTAAATATTTAACTTCCTCAAGAGATTGAGCTGTAATATAAGAAATTATCCCTATAATGCCCACTGACTGCTACAAACAGATGTGAAATTTCAGGGTAGACCCAGACTGTAATCAGCCCCCCTATGGCCAAGCTATCATGTTCTTCACTGGGGTCAGACACACAGTCTCCCTTTTCATATTACCCCTCAGATTTGTCTGTAAGGTAGTGTTATATGGGCTGTGGAGAATTATTAGGCTCTGGACACATCTTTTTGTTTGAAATCCCGAATGCTTTACAAACCAACAAATTGCCATACAGTTACTTGTAGATCTCTACATCATCAGAAATAAGTCTACAAGGCATGACACAGCAAATACCTGCACTGCACATTTTAAAAGCAGGTTTTGGGAGGCGAGGGAGGGTTGCAAGTTTTGTTGCATTTGCTTATTTATCAGTTGAGATCTCGCTTAACAGCTAATGGGAGTTAAGCTTCTCACTTTGCTGAGTGCAACTCTATCCAGCAGTGATACATCACTCCAGCTCATGTCACTCACTGGCTAACGTGGACAAGCATCCAGGTCTCAACAGACAACTTCTCTTCATAACTTTCTGGTAGTTCTATCTGTGCTGTCTTCAATTGAAAGGAAACTTAAAAAGTGGACCAGCCCTGTTTGTGTATTTGTTTATGGATTCTCTCTGTAGCAGTTGGATTCATTCAGTAAAATTCACTTCACATGAAGGACATACCCATCCCTGTTCTCCATAGTTGGCATTGGATGACTTGTTGGTATCTACTCCCATAAAGAGAAGGAGGATTAAAATAATCCAGTTCTGAAACACCAGCTCCTTCAATTATGAGCCAACCTCGCCTTTGGAGGGATGACCCTTTGAGGCTGAAACCCATCATTATGGGTTTAGCCCACTAGGCATGTATGGGGACCGGGGCCACCCTTATGCTGAGGTACTCTGCAGGGCCTGGGCTTTAAGCCCTCGAGGCAGGGGCCCTCAAGCAGGTAGCACAGAGACATGGTGGCCTGACTGATATTCATGTGGACCGGGTAAATGTGCCCTTCAGGCACAGGGCACTGGAGCGTTACATTTCTGAGAACTGAGAGGGGAAACTTGGAAAGCAGCTAGATTTACTGGTGTGATGTGTTTGCTTGCATGCAAGCTTCAGTTAAAAGTTGTTAACAAAAGTGGGTTGCTAGTAAAAATAGCAATACCACAGCGTAGAGATGCTAAACAACTTGTGTAAAAGTACTTAAGTATTAGCATATAAATATTCATGAAGTACCAAAAGTAAAAGTACTGATTATGCAGAGTGACCCACTTCACAATAATATCATTAATAGTAGCTTAATCTACAATAATAATTCATAATTTATTAGTTGATTATATATCTGAATCTGCAAAGTAACAAGTGATTCAAGCTGTCAAATAAATGTAGTGGAGTAAAAATGACCTTCCACATATATTTCATATAATATTATTTTTCATATAATACTGAATTAATGTTTCCTGACAATTCCACATTGAGTGACAAAGTTAGAAACTGAACTGAGTTGTAAAGAGATGACAGTAATAAGAACTAAAAGGCCTCTGAATGTGCGTTCTACTCTATTCACTGGACGTGATGAGGATTTCAACAGAAAACTTGTTACTGTGAGAACCTGCTCCTGTATGACAAAAATCCTCTTTGTCTGATCCGTGGCCCTGCTCCACAGATAATAGAGCAAAATGTGGCCTGAGGGAGATAATTTGTTCCCAGATCTTCAGATCGCAATATTTTCATTTGAGCCCAGGAGGGGATCTCTTGAATTGCCAGCTTCCATTGTGTTCCAACAAGGGGCACGAATGTCTTGTCAATTAATTTTTCTTTTATTCCAGACCACAGAGCGCCTGAGTGAATTCAATTATCAACCAATTAAGAGGTGTTTCCTTTTATTTACACGCTTTGATTCCGTGCGTATCCATATTGTTTGAAAATAAGACAGGAGCCGGGTGTTAAATCACTTGAACATTTAAATTTTCTCCCCAATAGCATGCTTTCTGTTGTGTCCCCTGGGTCGCAAGCACAACAGAAGCACATTACATGCCGTTGAACTCTCTCGCCAATTGTTCCGCAGATGCTCTTCCACAGTGGTTCCCAATACAGGAAAAAAAAAGAAAAAAAAAAAGAAGAAAAAACAAATCCCATTAACAGGATTCACACTGACACACACGGAACAGCCAGCGTTTTGCGTGACAAGACTTTGGGAATAGATGGAGACAGGTGGAATATTCAGCAAACAGGTTAACATCAAACAGGCGCAGTCTGAGTCAAATCCAGCCCCAGACAAAAAGCTGAACTTCTGAACCTTGTGGAAATAAGTTAAAGGTCTGATTGCTTGTTGAAATGGGGCTATTGGAAGTGACAAGCGGAAAATGTCTCTGTCTTACACACTTTACTGCTTACAGCCACTTGACTTCAGATTTCCTGACAGGCTCTAAAGCATTTCTATTGGTTTGATTCCCACTTTCTTACAATACCAAAAGAGAATTTAATCTGAAAATTTGTAAGGCCCTTGTTTTTTTTTACTGGCCTGACAGGGGCTGTGAAGAGAGACAGAAAACACAGCGGGGTCTCCAAAATATTTTAAACGGCCGATTTAACTTGAAAATCTACAAAAAATGGGGGGGTGGGGTGTTCAGAAGGGCCTTTTGTGCTTTATCTGAATCAAAAACTGTACAACAGGAAACAAATAATGACCTCTTACAGCTTCAAGTTATTTCAAAAGTAGCTGATGAAACTACAGTGACCCTGCAGTAAGTCTAAATAGGAATATTCTAGGAATATAAAACTTATAAAATCAAGGAAAGACCTGACATTACTTTCATAGCCAAGTGCCAAATGGGAGATTAATAAAGTATATCTTTGAAATGAAAATTTAAATATAATATTACACAGTTTAGACTGTTAGACAGTAATTTCCCTGATTGGTTATATTCAACACTCATGAAGATGAGCAGGAAAATGACACATAAACCTTGAAAATGGAGTTAAAATAAATGACTTTTATTCAAACATCGACATGAGTTTAAATAAAACACAAAACACAGTTCAGCCTAAAATACACGTCACGTTTCTCTTATGAAAATAATTTCTGTACATATGTGTTTTCTTCTTCGTTTAAGACAGAGTCGGCCCAACCGAACAGCTACAATAGGTACGGAAAAAAATAAGTCAGTCCATCAGTTCAAGGAGAGGCTACATTGTTGCACTAGTGTGAACAAACCATAATGGAGCAGTGGCAGTTTATATTCCTTTTCTAATACACCGAAATATATTTTTTCACTGTTTGGAAGGATTATTGTGAAAGACACCAGTTTAATCCCAGTGGTGGTTTTACAGATAGGCCTACCAAACCAGTAAATGAGTAATAAGTAATAACAGTAGGCTACATATGAAATGTAAAGGCTAACAATGAGTGATAAATTACTTATTTTTCTGTAAACAGCCCAGCACTGATACAGACAGACAGTCTACACCTCTGTTCCTTCCCGGTTGTATATTAGGTTATTAACACTGAAATGGTTGGAGAGGCTCTGTACTGATGTGTAATAATTAATTCTGTTGTTGTCAGAGTTCAGAGGAGAGATTAAAGTGGGCGAGTAGGAGCCCAGTCCAGACATGCCCTCTCTGGTCTGAGACAATCCCCCCAGGTGCCCGGAGCCGTAGTCCCGCTCCCCGCCCCGGGAGCCTTCGGTGCTGCCGCTGCCCGACAGCAGCGAGTTCACGCTGGACACGAAGCTGCTGAAACATGGGCTGTGCTCCGCGGAGGGAGGCGGCGAAGACGACTTGGGTTCCGTGGAGGCCGGGGATCCGTGCAGACTGGGCGGGGAGGAACTCAACAGGCTGGCGGTGTCGGAGAGCTTGTGTGGGCCGTCTTCTGACTTTACGGGGAGAGGGGGATTGTCAGCTCCGCTTAAGTCAGCTCTCCTTTTTCTCTTCCGCCTGAAGTTGCCGTTGTCGAACATCTTCTCACAGTTGGGGTCCAGTGTCCAGTAGTTTCCTTTACCTGGACGAGCAACAAAACCCAGGGTTAAATATATGGGGGACAGATTTGGAGCTTTATTTTTTCTGTTAATGTGGGTTTTCATCTTTATAATTTAATTTCCTCTAAAAAGTACTCAAACTGACAATGAGCTGAGGAGATTTAGTTGTTTCAAGAGGTTTCATTCATTTTAAGAGTTTAATCAAAACACTAGCAGCATCAACACCACGACAATGAAAACATCTCCACACAACAATACTTAATTTAGTCAAAATAATCCAGACTCACCGGGGTCATCCTCGTCCCGGGCCACTTTTTTGAAACAGTCGTTCAGCGATAAATTGTGACGGATTGAATTCTGCCATCCAGCTTTGCTCTTCTTGTAGAAAGGAAAGTTGTCAGCCACATACTGATAGATCTGACTCAGAGTCAACTTTTTGTCTTGGGCGTTCTGTATGGCCATCGCTATCAGTGCTGAGTATGAGTAAGGTGGTCTGACCATCTTGAAGAGTTCCTGCTGGCTGGATATGGACAGCCACCCCAGGTCTGCCCCACCGAACCCGGTGGGAGGTGGTAAAAACTGCCTCTGGTTCGACCCGTATCCAGACTGAATGTAGGACGTGCTGTTGTTCCCGGGGAGATAAGGAGAGGAGTTTATGCTGGGTCCGTTCAGCCATAAGTAAGGGTTCGCGGACGGAGACGTGTACTCTCCGAGGCCGTAGCTAGAGGGGTGCGTGGGCGGCCTCTGAGGATGATGGTGGTGGAGGTTCTGTTGGTACACACCGTAGTTGTCGCAGTACACGGCCATGTCCAGGAGCTCCTGAGCGCTGTGGTGCTGAATAGGGCTGGTCTGCTGGTTAGATGGTTGGTGTCCAAAAGCGTTCATAATCCGCCCTAACCAGATTCCCAAAACCTAATTTCGTCTGTGTGCGTCTCCCTCAGGACTGAGCTCATCCTCAGAGGGAGGAGTATTTATGCGCAGCGCCCGGAGCCTCCACAGGTAGCCCACTGAAGAAAAGTTTTGGGAGGGTCACACCTCTCTTTTCTGTCCCGCAACAGCCCACTTGTATTGACCCAACCTCCATATTCATGAGCATCGATACTGCTTTTAACTGCACTGCTGAGCTTTACGTTATTTTTCAGGCATATTCACATTAAGGAACATTAGTGGTTTACATCTGTCATTACCCGTGCGTAAATACGCACCGGAGTTTATCCTGACTGCGGCAAAGTCCTTATCTTCAAATTCACTATTTAAACAAGCCAGCAAAAACACATGTTTAACACATAGTAGAGCAATGAGAATATTTGTTTTCATACATTTGACAAAATTACTGGAGGTCACCATAATGAACATTTGTCCTGATCGTTTATGGATTCAAAAAAANGGCAAAGTCCTTATCTTCAAATTCACTATTTAAACAAGCCAGCAAAAACACATGTTTAACACATAGTAGAGCAATGAGAATATTTGTTTTCATACATTTGACAAAATTACTGGAGGTCAAAAAAAAAATATATATATATATATATAATGTTTCGTCTTTGTTCTCCGGTTTTGAGATACAGTCATCGAAACTACAAGGTACAACTTGAACTCCAGTTATACCAGAGCGTCCATGCATGAATAGCAAATATTAGTTTTTTAATGCAAACTTAAATATCTGTCACTAATAGATCATTATCACATTTTTACAAAACTACGTCTGAAATAGCTCCCTTTTATCAGCACCCTGATGACCAATAAATACGGGTTGTGACAATTTAATATAAAACAGAATAAATTATAATTCATGTGCTGTTACGCAGTGATCGGCATCATGTCTGAACTTGCTGAACTTTCTGCGCGACAGTATCAAACCCAAACAACAAAGACCCGCGTGTGTTTGTAAAGAGCCACCTTCTCTTAAAAAGATATTCGTTTGCAATAAACACTTCACAAGTGCCGCAAGTTTAGTGTCAACAAGTGACTCGTGGAAAAATTACCCCCAGCAGGCTCCCGAAGAAAACATGGCCTACTGTATCTGCCCTGCAAAATAAAAGCCGGTCCAAATTGTGTGCCAGTTATGTCGTTCTGTCACATCAACATTAATCAATTCTATCCACAACAATTCAGAATCAACAGGTTTTCTCCTGCTTCAACTTTGGTATTATGTAATTAAAATGTGACTTTAATATCTAAACTGAAATTCGATCAAACTGGTAAAATGTTATGACTTAGAATAAGGTGAAGAAAACATTGAGGCAATTATAACTGTATCCTTCAACTGCTGCTTTTACTTTAAAGTTAAACTGGAATAAACACCCTGCAGGACAAGATTTCATTTACAATATGGAAGTCCTAAAAGGCTACTAAAGGGGGTTAACACATAAACAATATTCTGCTCCAGCAGACTTACACTATTTTAATTTTATTTTATCCATCTGGTCGGAGGGACTTTGCCAACCCTGGTGGTTTCTGGAGCCTGGAGCTGGAGCTGGAGCTGGGTCCGACCTCTAGCAGGTAAATGGTCTGAGTTTCGACTGAGAGTAAAGCGGGAACGAGGATAATTAACCCACCGATACTTTAGAAGCCCTATAAAGTTTGTTGAAAGCTCTTTCTAATTTAACTCGTAAACACATACAATAACAAAACAAACCACTACAGACTAATATTCTACACAGACTTCGTTTCCTTGCAATGCTTTGACATTTTGTCTCCCACGATATTAAGTTATAATAACACGTCTGGAACTTATTACTGTATGGCTGTGAACTACTGTATGTGATAAATCATTTTGAAATATGCTGCTGTTATAAGGGCACACGTTAATAGGCTCAAGACTCGTTCTGCTGTGTGTTTACGACTCACTCACACAACTGAACTTTAAATTTACAAGCGAGTGCGTTTTGAATTTGAAAATCATGCGTCGCCTCCGTGCTCAGCTCTGCTGTCATCCCTGTGAGGAGTGGGCTCTGCAGGTCGCTGCTGCACTCCTGCACTAATCGGCAGTGCATTCCTCCTCTCCATGACCTTGATGTAATTGTTTGGCTCCAAGGCGTTGTCCCGACCACAGGCTGTACAGCAGTGGCAAGCAGTGGACTCCATGGGAGGGGAGTGGCATTTAACCCCCAGATGAAAACAACGCAACCTGTTAGGTGTCTAACACCCAGTACAGCTAATTACTGCTGACTGCTGACTGGACATCTGAATCTGAAACAGTCCAAGCAAACACCGCAATGATCCTCCTCAGCCTCACACTTTAATATTAATAGGAGGTAGTTTTGGGTTGCTGATAACGTTTAAATATAACATTTTATTTTGTTTAAATAATGCCAGTCACTCAATCACTCAGTTTGCATTGGGCTTTATCTAAAGAATAGGCAGACATCAGAAATCAGGTGCAGGAGCAGCCATCAATCACAATTCTTCTTATCTGTTTTTCTCTCAGATTAAGTTCAGTGATGTCAAATGTGGTTCAACTTGACAAGCTCAAGCCTCGACGTCATTGTAAAGTAATAATTCAAACATGCTGACTGTGTGTGTGTGGGAGGGGGAGAGTGGGGGTGTCTATTGTTACTCTGCCATGTCTGTCTTCATCCCCCGTTTCCTCAAGCTTTTTGAGGTCATGGGAGCTTTTCTTTGGGAGATCAAGTCAATCATGGCGAGGTCACAGAGGTAGGGCAGAGCCACCGCAGGCTCCTTCAGATTGAGAGCAGAGGGAAAAGAAACAGTGCTGCAGGTGATTGAGGAATCATCCATACTTCTACTTCTCCATTCAGTATGTATCAGCACATTTTACTGCTGGGATTAGAGTTAAACACCCGCTGGAATCAACAGAGACCCTCAGGGTTAATAAGGCTTGTTTTCTGCAAACAGCCTTGGCTTTAACAATGTGGCTGTATGAGTTAGACATCTGCTAAGTGTTTATTACTTTGAAGTAATTACCAGACTATCAGATGCATTTAAAGCCAATAAAATCATGAAAGGCCCAGATAAAGTCATTAATTTTGACTGTGTAAACAAAATGATCCCTTTGTGCAGCCAGAAGCCTGTCCTTCTCAGAGACTCCCCCTAGTGGAGAAACAAAGCAAAACAGACAACACAATTGGAGTGCTAATTAATGTACAGTCTGGATGCAGAGTGACATGTAAATGAAAGCTGGTCTTTCTGAATACTTTGCACAAGGTTAATTCCTCGGCAGCTCTGGCTTCGTGCAGGAGATTAAAGACACTTGAACTGAAGCGATGTGATCTGAGACTTGGCAGGCACCGCAACTGTCTGGCCTCGGAGCATCCTTCATTTCCACACTCAGTGGTCTTTACTCTTCAAGATGGCAAAGACATATTCACTGCACGAGACATTTATAATAGGATCTCTAGCTGAGCTTTACATTTTTTCTCAACCGGCTTCACAAGTTTAAAGAGGCGAATAATGGATATTTTTAGAGAGTGATCTCTTTGCTTTTCTTTTTAAACACTCCAAATCTCACATTGTGTCATTTTGACAACTTATATGGATGTTGACAAAATAATATGCAGCATTTTAAATCCACATTTAGCTGCTACATTATGCAAGGCCTCTGTATAAAGAACTCACTTTTAAAGGATAATATGTTTGTAAACAAGCAACAGAAAATTTCCCCTTCAGCAGATAAATGTGAAGAGTTTTCTAGCGTCAAACTGTGCACATGCATAATTCTGCAAAGTGAAGTCCAAATCTAAAGAATTTATTCATTTTTGTGTGTGTGGGGTGGGGTGGGGGGTGGGGGGCTTCAAGTTTGCTTTTAAGGCATTTGGGTCAGTAGCCTAAATTCAAAACCCAAATATTGTTAGCACATAAATATCTCACAGAATTTGTCCACCTGCGAGGCCCAAGAGGGAAATCTGTTTCTCAGTATTTAGATATTCCTCTCTGTGTTGTCCCCTCTGACCAATTACTGTTTGGCACTGTCAGTCTGTCTCCCAGAGCTGAAGAGGGAGCCCTGCAGACAGCACGCTGACCAAGGGAGAAATACAGCTAGCCAGGCCTTCTGCTTCACCGCTGCTAGTTGCATTAGCTTAATTCTCTCCTCCGCTGGGCAGATTTACACCTCTGCCCCTGATTACATCCTTGGAGAGATCAGAAGTTACTGGCCTGTTAGAGCCAAAATCACACTGTGCTGGGCTCACCATCAGCTGCAGAGAGGTTAAATATACTCTACCTGCTGTTTCCTAGAGTGGTCTTTAAATACAGAAACTTGGCATACAGGAGAGTTGTGAATTGAGATTTTGTAAGCAGAGATATTTCAACTCTAAAATTCCATCCCTCATTACATAACTGCTGCTTGATTTCACTGGTGCAAAGGCACTATGGACATGATTTGATGTAGGAGGGTGCTGGTGGTGTCAAGACTATTAATATGACCTTAAAATTATATGTACACAAGCCAAAGGTTTATGTCACTGTGGTGGTTACTCATCTGGGCAGTGTGATGTGGCAGGCAAGATGCACTAACAGTATCATCCAGATGAGGGCAGCATTGCTTTAGACATGATACCTTCAGCATTCCTCAACAAACCACCCATCTATCAACAGCACTGTGCAGCTTTCTGGGAGGCAAAATATATCAAAATCCAGAATCTGATCAGTGTATTGATTTTAATCACACAGAATTTAATAAATTCGGAGGCTTCAGAATTTAGAGTGAGAGTGATGAAAAATGTTCCACTGTCTCAAAGTTAACTGTCTGAATGCACAGAATCTTTCTCTTTACAGCCTTTACAGTTCTCCAACACTAATCATACTCATTGCTCAAGAATTATATATAATATTACAATAATAATATACATATTCTGCTTCGAAAAGGTCAACACGGTGCCAATGTATTATAATGTCAGATGTAAGCATTGGCGTGTATGATGATT